CCCCCCCCCCCAACTCCTGGGTCTTCTCTTGCTTCTCCCCTTGTCCCCCTACACCCCTCCCTTTCTCTTCTGCCCCCTCTACCCCTCAGTTACCTCCCATCCTCCTTCCTCTACCAGCTCTGTTCTCTGCAGCCTCTCCCTGGGATGTCTTGCTCCAGGTCTTGGGGCGACAGGAGGCTCCATCTCCTCCTGAATTCTCTGCTGACTTGGAGGACAGCGTGGAGCACAGGCTGAGAAAAGTCACTCTGAGCCCCGACCCCAACAGCCAGCCCTGGGGCACAGCCTGGTGACAGCCTCAGCCAGCGCTGGGCTGGGGAGGTCTAGGTGCCAAGCCAAGGGGAAGCTCTCCCCTGGCCTTAGAGCCTGCTTTGCTGTCACCCCTGACCAGGCTCAAGAGGTGAGGGCAGGGGTCATGAGGGCTTCTATCTCTAATTAGCATAGGCTCAGGGAGTCTTTCTCCTTGTCTGTGTCCCTTGTCTTTTATGGTCATTTCTGTGGTCCTAGTCTCCAAGAACTCCTGTCCTGCAGGGTCCTCAGCATTGATAGTGTGACATAAAAATAAACCACGACAGTGGAAGTTCACTGATGTAGTCGACGTTCCTAGTTTTCAGACTGGAATGCTCTGTCCTAAAGCTTCACACAGCTGTGCAGAGCACACCCTTGTTGCCCACAGTCCTCTAGGTGCACACACAGGCATTTTCATTTTACGAATTTCTGCTATTTCATAATCCATATGTACTAATTTGCACCATTTTTAACAAAGTAAATCTGGGGCATCTTTTCATACCAGAACATTTACTTCTATCACCATCTTTTTGTTTTGTAAATTTTATTATGAGAAATTTTAAATGTACCAAAAAGTAGAGCTAATAGACCAAAACCTTTCAAGCACCCACCCCTCTCAGCTGTAAGAATCATCATCATGGGGTGGCTTGTGTCATCTCTACCTTGACTCTCTCCTTCCACTTTTTTAAAAATTTTATCTTTATTGTTGAAAGTATTACAGATATTCCCCTTTTTCCCCCCTCATTGATCCCCTCCACCCAGCATCCCCCCGACAGGCCTTCACCACACTATTGTCTGTGTCCATGGATTATGCATTTATGCGTATAAGTTCTTTGATTAATCTCTCCCCACCCACTCCCCCATCTCTGCCTTCCCTCTGAGATTCGTCATTCTGTTCCATGCTCTATGTCTCTGGATCTGTTTTGTTCCTCAGTGTATTTTGTTTATTAAATTCCATATATGAGGGAGATCATGTAAAACTGAATCAGGAAGAATCAGGAAACCTGAATAGGACAATAACAACTGATGAAATCAAAGCAGCAATAAAAAAACTTCCAGCAAACAAAAGCCCTGGTCTGATGGCTTCACAGGAGAGCTTTCTAATTCTTTAATTCTTTAAGTTGTAAGGTTAGATAGTTTACTAAAAATTTTTCTTGCTTTTTGAGGTAGGCCTGTAATGCTATGAGCTTCCCTCTCAAGACTGCTTTCATTGTGTCCCATAGATTTTTGGTGATTGTGTGTTCATTTTCATTTGTTTCCAGGAAGTTTTTGATTTCTTTCTTGATCTTATTGGCAACCCATTCATTGTTTAATAACATGCTATTTAGCCTCCATGTGTTTGAATGTGTTTCAGTGTTTTTACTGCAGTTGATTTCTAAATTCATGCCATTGTGATCTGAGATGCTTGATATGATTTCAGTCTTCTTGAACTTGTAGAGACTTGTTTTGCACACTAACATGTGGTCTATTTTTGAGCATGACCTATGTGCACTTGAGAGGAATGTATATTAGCAGCTTTGGTATGAAATGTTCTGTAAATATCAATTAAATCCATCTGACCTAGTGTGCCATTTAGTCACTGCTTCTGTGCTTTTTGTCTGGAAGTCAGTGGGGTGTTAAAGTCCATGACTGTGACTGTATTGCTGTTGATCTCTCCCTTAAAGTCCTTAAGGTTGTTATTGATAGGTCCTTATTTACCACCACTTTAATTCTTTATGCCTATGCTTCTCTATTTCTTCTTCTTATTACAACAGTCCCTTTAACATTTCCTGCAATGCTGGTTTGGTGGTGATAAACTCCTTAAGCCTTTTTTTGTTTGGAAAGCTCTTTATTTTACCATCTATTTTGAATGATAGCCTTGCTGGATAGAGTAGTCTTGGTTTCAGGTCTTTATTTTGCATTACCTTGAATACTTCATGCCATTCCCTCTGGCCTGTAGAGTTTCTGATGAGCAGTCATCTGACAGCCTTATTGGAGCCCCTTTGTAGGTAACAGATTGCTTTTCTCTAGTTGCCTTTAAGATGCTCTCTTTGTCTTGAATTTTTTGCATTTTAATTATGATGTGTCTGGGCATGGGCTTCTTTGGGTTCTTCTTGCTTGAGACTCTCTGTGCCTACTGAACTTGTGTGACATTTTCCTTCACCAAGTTAAGGAATTTTCTGCCATTATTTCGTCAAATAGGTTCTCTAACCCTTGCTTACTTTCAACCTTTTCTGGCACTCTTATGATGTGAATATTGTTACATTTCATGTTGTCCCACAGCTCCCTTAGACTGTCCTCCTGTTTTTTAATTATTTTTTCTTTTTGGATCTCTGATTGATTTTTTTCTACCCTGTCTTCTAATTTGCTGATCCTATCCTCAGCTTCCTCTAATCTGCTGTTTATTCCTTCCACTGTATTCTTTATTTCTGCTATGTCATTCTTCATTTCTGATTGGTCATTTTTCATAGTTTCCATATCTTTTT